TAACAGGGCTGACACCATCCTGTCCCCAACCTTATGCAATTGTATCATTTTTGTAGCAAAATTAGTTTAGAACTAAAAGAGACTAATAAAACTTTGGGGTGGGGATATTGTTGTATTTGGGTGTGTGTTATGCTATAGTTTCATTTTTCTCACTGAACAGATATTTTTCTTTTTTCCCTCAACTCTCGGGCTATAGATTCCACAGAAAATGTCACTTTGACCTATTTAAAATTCTTGGACAAAGATGGAATTGACAAATGTTTATAAGTGTCTCTTTTCTCTTTAGAAGTGGTGGTTGAAATTGGGTTGAACAAGAGAAATCTTCCCCTATTCATTTTGCTTGGAATTGGAATAAGTATATTTTTCTTGTTGCAAACACAGCAGAAGCAGCTTTAGGTAGGAAATGAATTTTGCTCTTTATTCTTAGTAATTCAAGTTAGAAGAAGGGAAAACAGACCACTTTAAATATGCTTTTGGAGTAAAATTAGTGATGAATATAAAATCAGTGATGGGTGGAATGTGCCCCAATTCTTAGATATAGTTCCCCATAGGGGGATTTGGCAATTTGCATTACATATTTCCTACTACATTTCAAGGATTACTTCTATTTAGGTACAGGGATGGTTGAGAAGTTTGTTCCAGCTGAATGTTTTTACATATTTATTGTGTTTACTTTTCCTAGTATTCTTGCATTTAAAAAAATGCAAGGAGACATTCAACACCTTTCCAAATAATATGAATGCAGTTCTTTGAAAATGTTGTATACAGATATGTGAATGATTGGTTAAAAGTGTGATAAAAATGCTTAGTTTTGTAAAAAAAAGTCCATTAAAGTTTGGACTTACTAGATGAACATTACAGAAATGCATATGAACTTGGGTGCAAATCTCTGTATGAAATTTAATGCACAGTTTCAATTTCACAAAATGAGCAATTAATCAAACATTTAGCAGGGTTTGTCTTTCCATACATTTTGTGTTTTAGTCAAGAATTTTAGCATGTATTAAAATCATCACTAAAGATATCATCTTAACTGCACATATATTTTAAACAGCGTGAAATAGAAATATGAGAGAACAAAGAGATAAACTTATTATTATTCTCTTAGCACTTTTTATAGCTGTATATGCATATCAGAAAAAAAAAATCCCAAATCTGTGCAGTACTTTTTCATTTATGCCAATTGCAAGAAGTATAACAAATATTTCTACCACATTTTATATATTTATTTAAAATATATGTATACCTGCCCACCTTAAAGAAATCTTGGAAGTTCACAAACAGAAGTAAAACTTGTAACTGTAAAACAACCATATAACAAAACAGGAAAAAACATTAAATGGAAACAAAAACCCTATACCTTAATCATCTCTTTAGAATGCTTCAAAGCAAGTTCTAATTATCCCCATTCTATTCCATTCCACTCAGTGGTGGGTTGCAGGCAGTACGCCCCGGCACATGCATACCGGAGCCAGCCCGGAGCACCAGATACTGTTCCGGTACCGTGCTCTGAAGGGCCCACCCAGCCGGCCGAGCTCCTTATCGGAGTTTAAAGGCTTTTGCGCTTGTGCGCAGATGCACCATATGGCGCATACAGCTTCTGCGCAAGTGCATGGTGCATACAGCTTCTGCGTAGGTGCATGGTGCATACAGGGTCTGTGTGATGCTCCATGGAGCAGCTGGAGCATTGCAGAGGTGTTTGAACGTGTGTACATCCTGCACACATGTGCGTTGCGCACATCCATGAGGATGCTGCCGGCCCCGTTCCAACTGTACTGGTTGGAACGGGATTTGCAACCGACAGCTGATTCCACTGCACTGGAATGGACTGCACCAGTGGTGGGTTTGAATTAATTTTATTACCAGTTCCCTCATGCACGTGTGTGCACTTGCATGCGCATGAGATGCTTATGCAGAGCCTCCTGCCACTGCCACTACTGGATTGCCCGATCCGGGGTGAACCAGCAGAAACCTGCCACTGCACTGCACCGCACTGCACTTCATTCCTGTCCCGTCCCTTCCCATCCCATCCTATCCTTTCCTATCATGTCAGTGAAAAGCCAGGTCTTAATGGACTTCTGAAAGGCTAATGCGATGGGGAGCTGTCAAATCACTGGTGCTGGAGAGGGTGTTCCATAAGATTGGGGCAGCTATGGTCATGGCAGACTTCCAAGACCCTTCCAAGGTAGGATTTCAGGGAAAGGCTCTGGACTATATCTACCCTATCCAATTCAATGGGACAGTTAGGTATTATTAGGGAGAAGTTCCACAAATAATCAGAACCCATGCCTTGTAGGGTTTTAAAGGTGTTGCTTAGTACCACGAATTGCATTTTGATGAAAACTGGGAACCAATGTAGATCGCACAAGAGGCTGCAACATGTATGTCCCTATAAATATATAAAACATGTTCCTTTGCCTATATGCAATGACATAGTTATTGAAATAATACATACAGATGGCTTGTGTGACATCACACTTTATAAATGTATCCACATTTCAACTCAGTTCAGATGCATGCTTGTCTGGCTAGCAGTGAGTGTTGCATTCCATCTAAATGTCCAACCTTATTCTGTGAGCTGCTTCCTTTGCAAACAAAATTCATATTTTGCAAAAGTCCAAAAAAAAGCAAATAGAAAAGACCCCATTACAAGTGACCACATTAAAATAATTGTATAATTCATTAACATTGTTCTTTTAAAGATGATCAATACCAGGTTCTCAAACTGTCTCCCTGGCAGATCTAACTACCCTCATCCTATCATGGATATATGTATCTATCTATAATATTATTTTTTTACATTTGGCTAAAAGTGGGTGGGATTTGTGTTATTTAGATGGTTTTTCCAATGTTTCCTACTGGTAGGACCACAAACAAATTTTTGGCCCTTTCTCCACTATCCAGTTATACCTGGGCTCTGGAGCCACATGTGGCTCTTTCAACCCTGCTGCAGCTCCCTGTCACTGGTTGGATTCACAATTGATAGGGCTTTTGGTTAGGACAGGTAGAGGAAAAAGAATGTGGTCCTAATAATAGCAATAGCAATATAGCAGTAGACTTATATATCGCTTCATAGGCCTTTCAGGCCTCTCTAAGCGGTTTACAGAGAGTCAGCATATTGCCCCCAACAATCTGGGTCCTCATTTTACCCACCTCGGAAGGATGGAAGGCTGAGTCAACCCTG